GTGCAAGCAAGGGGAGATCTGGACTGATATTTACCGTAAACCCTGCTTTCAACCCGTTATCATCCCACGTCAATCAATCGATCCCAAGCATATCAAATTGGCGGTGTTCAGATCATGGATTAAACGTGCGTATACGCATTGTACAAGTTTCTGCGGCACAATAAAGGAGCTAAGGTACATTCTTAAAATAGCCCAACTAAACGGATATCCAAAGAAAGAGATAGAGGATCTTATTTCATCCTTCCAATCCACTACACGGCATTCTCCCAAGATTGACCCTAATAAACGAATAGTGCTTAATTACGTACCATTTCTGAACAGGATACACACATCTACTGCCAAGTCTAATAACTTACACATTGTATACAGGCGCAATCCCACTATTTTCAAACTATTGAGAAACGACAAAAAGAAAGAGGATCGGAATTCAACAACGGGTATATATTCAGTGCCTTTACATGATCAGCGTTTCGATTCCAGGCTAGTTTACGTGGGTGCGACGATGCGCGGTCTGAAGAAAAGGCTCAAGGAACATAAGTACACTATCGATAAGAACCTTGATAACACTGTGTTAGCATCATACGCAAAACAACAAGATATAAATGTTCTATGGGATCAGGCATCAATTATAAAAACGACAACTAATCGGCAAACGATCAAACATCTAGAGAAATTGGAAATCTATAAGGCGCACATGAAAACCGGTTGTATAAACCATAGGGACGCCGACTCATTGTCCACTGCGTGGAGATCCTTTTATAATTATTAATTTTTCACTATTTATTTGTTAATTTTTCATTAATTTTTCATTAATTCGTCCACCAGGGCGTTTTCCGTTAATTTTTTATTTTTGTATTTATTTCGAACGCATTTTGTTCTATATTTAGTGTTCTATTTTTAGTAACTGATGATGATCGTTGAAAAACGATTGAAAACGTTTTTATTTTATTAAATGTTGCTGGATTTATATCGGTGTAGTTTATTTTTCAATTAATTCTATTAATATATCATCATTAATTGATAACATAGAATGTAATTTTACTACAACTTTTCAAGATAAAATTTCTCAGTGCTACTCTATTAATTATGAACAATTCTGTTGTTGTTTTATAAAGTTCTGATTTTCTTATAAAAAATAAATATCACATAGCCGACATATAGACGTACATTTTGATGGTATAATTTTCAATTACAAAATGACTGTTGCCAGAGTAAAGTCGACCCCCCTATAACACTGTTGATTATTCCATGTTATATGAATTCCATGTTGTACGAGTCATTTAACTTTTACAAATACATGAGCTGTTCACAGCCTGACACAGGTGTTTGTAAAATCTAAGTGACTCGTACAACATGGAATTCATATAAAACAGAATTATCAACAGAGTTATGGGGGGGTGATTGTATGTATGTAAATAAATATGCAAAAAAGTTTTGTTTTTAAATAAATATTGCTTTTGACATTGACTTGTTACCTGAAATGGGTTGATTTTATTGTTTTGTTACCCTGTTTATTGTACTGTACATTTGTAGTTTTCTGAAAAATAAATCAGTTTTTCTCTCTGACAATATAATAAATTTAAAAATACCAAGAATAGAGTGAAAATTATAGTTTTATTAAAAAAAAAAAAAAATCACATTGATACTGACAAATTTGAAACACCAACTTCCTGATTAAGAAATTGGCATATCCCATGGTAGAAATTCTGAAGGTTTTAATGATTGTGCAATTTTCAACTTCAATTTTCCTGTTTAATTTTGAGTAGTGTGTCTTGCTGCTTGGCACATGTCAGTCGCAGGGAATGCACTATATCTATGCCAAGTTTAATTAAAATTGATAACTCCAATGTCACACTGTCCCCTTATCAGTCAAAACAATCTGTTCCATTTTTATTCCAGTGGCTAAAATTTTGATCTACAGATGCATATGATAGTTAGCTTATTATATAAAATATACAGTTACTCTGCTCAAGTTGTATATACTGGAAAATATGTTCATAACTTTACTAAGAAACCACAGTTTATTATAATTCTGTCATTAAACAGCAATAATATAACTGTAGCTATTTGTCAAAATAGCTACAGTTATATTATTGCTGTTTAATGATAGAATTAGCTACAGTTGCTGTATATTTGTCCTCTTATGTACTATCTGTCTCCAAGCTATAATACTATGCCAATAATGTCATATATTGTTAAAAATTATTTTTGTATGGAATTAATGATTAATGGTTTCTTCTTTCTTTTTGCTAATATGTAATATTATAATTTTAAATACCTTTCATCTCCTGTTGTCAAATCAATGGAGTTCACCCAATCTTGAATAGTTACAGGTGATTTTGGTGGTGGAGTTCCTAGATTATAAAATTATGATTAAAATTAGAACTTTATTTGTATCTTAAAAAATAATCAACATGTTAATCATTTAAATGAATAACTTTAACTTAAATTTATGATATTAAACAAATCTATGAAAATTATATATAGTGTAGCATCTGTTTACTGCACAAACAAAATCTAAAATGTACTACTTTGTATACATACAATTTTTAATCATATAATACTGAACAAGCTTGAAAGTTTATTAGTTTTGTAAAGTATACTGTAGTAATAAAAAATATTTTATTGTTGTAATGTACAGAGTATCAATAAATATAATTTATTGCTACTCTGTATATTTCAAATTTCAACACAAAAATCAGATACCACTTAATTAAATATTTGTTAAAACAGCTTGATCTCAAAGTTTCATGTGAAAATGATTAAAATATTCCCATTCCTGATTTTTGATTGATGTTTAAAGTACAGATAATTATGGACATCCTGTATTGTGATACATTATAATAAAGCAGCATCATTTCTAACTTATAATAATCATCAAATGAAATAAAAAAAATGATCATCTTATATAAGACAACATGGTATTTAATTTTGAAATATTTTCAAAAAATATTTATTTTCAGAAACTATAAAAAACATGAATTATAGTTTAAGAAAAAGAGTTTTTTTTTTAACATTTAAGGAATAAATACAGTAAAACCTCTAATCTTGAATCTCTCCTTAAATTAAATTGGATTGTTGGTCTTATAAATATACTATATAATATAATGTATTTTCCCACTCTTTAAAGTTAAACAAATTTTCATGTATCTCCACACTGACCTTTCTTGTCAAACTCAGCAGATGCTGACCAACCAATTAAGCTCTGTGAATCCTTTTGGTGCATTTTGTGGTAAAGCAGCTTTAACACAGCTGGATAAGCAAGCCAATGACAGTCTGTTTCAAATTAAACTTGTTTATCCAGCTGTACCAGTGTTTCCCAACCTCTTTTGTGCTATGCCCCACCTAAGCCTTTCTAAAATTCTCATGTCCCCCTAACATATACAGTGGCTATACCAGGCATGGCCAACATATGGCCTGTCTAATGAATTTATGTGGCCCGCGATTAATCTTCCAATATTAGCTACTCAAGTCCGAATAGCTCAATGAAAAATTCTGATGCCTAAAAAAAAAAATAAAAAGGTCAACAACTCATTTTCAAATTGCCCCCCTTAACAATCGAATTGCCCCCTTGTGGGGAGTGGGCCCCACGTTGGGAAACACTGAGCTGTACTGAAGCCACTTTACCAAGCAATATATTCTTTGTTCATGACCACAGTTGCCAGTTTAGTTGGAAAACCCATCAGATCTTGTAGAGTATTAAAATTTAGTGAAAACAACTTTTAGTGGGGCAAGTTAGTCAGTAGTAAAGTATTTAGTGAAATTTTTGGCAGTTAAAAAAAATAAAAAACATTCAATGATTCCATAACACTATGTCCTACATAGCAGTGTCCAGCGATTGCAGGTGAAAAAAATCTTTTTAAGTGCTTCCAACTCACAAGCGGCTTCTGTCTAGAGTGGATGCATGTTGTTTACAAAATGGCGGCAAGAAGACTTTGTCAAATGCTACTATGGAAAATATGATAAGCATTAAAATGGTAAATTTGAAAGATAAATGTTACCACTAACTAGATACACAACAAATATAAAGAATATAAAATAATAAGTTAAAAAAAAGTTTTATTTTTAAAACGTTACATTTATACAAAATCAGAAATTATTAAATTATGTAGAAGATTATTAATTAAAGTACATACAACATATATACACAATTTATTTATCATTCTGTTTTTATTTATCTACAAAATCAGCCATTTTCTTCTTTGGAAGTGTGAGCAGTGGAAATGGCAATCAAACTTGCTTGGTAGCAGCTTCCTGCGCGTGTGTGTAGAAATGTTATCTGGTGGTCGCTGCATGCTAAACGCGGTTATTATGGACATGCACATTTGCTTGAATCAGTTTGTCTGCTCTGCATGCAAGCATGTTCACGCCCGCAGTCGCTGGATGTTGCCACATAGGATGTAGCCTAACTAGTTTTATCACAAAAAAAAAAAAAAACCAAACAAACAAAACAAGAGAGTAGAAAAAAGTTGGGCAGCATGAAATCTGTAAATCATCTATGATATCTGCATTGCATTTCATTTCATTATTCTCCTGATTTTCAGTTTTTCACTAATAAATGATGTACACAACAAACGAATGCAAGAGCATAGGACAACAGAAGTGATTCTGTTGGAAGAAATTTACTCAAACAAAACAGTTTATGATACACAATAATGTGTATCATAAAATGTGTTCATCACAAAATATCACAAATTAATACATTAGAGTCCTGAAAACTTGGCACTCGATAACCTGGCAGTCCGAATAACTTGGCCACACCCTGGCAGGGCGAAAAAACTCCTAGTTAATTTTCATTATAGACAGCTTTATGTCTCATAAAGTATTTTTCTGAGATCTGTCTTATCAGGTAAATTACTGTACACTGTGTATTAATTAATTTTCATTTTCATGTAGTAAATTTTCATGTAGTAAGGCTCTATGTCTTCATAAAGTACGTACTTTTCCTTTGTTTAAGGGTATTTGGGCAGTTTATTCTCAGTTATATTCTCAAGCAAACAATACATACAAGTACAGTACAGTATTTTCTGAGGAAACACTCATACTTATTCTTTTTTAACCCCATTCCCGATAATCCGGCATTTTCACAAACTCGGCCACCCTTTGGTCCACATTAGGCCAAGTTTTTGGGACTCTACTGTATGTTCATCTTCCTCTGTCAAATAACAAAGCAAAAATCTTAGAATGATAGCAAAAAGAGAACACAGAGGCAAAAATATTGTAAAAATTGAAAAATGGTTCTTGAACTAAAAGGTAAATTCCAAAAATACATCGACTACTTATATTACAAAAACTGGCTTTGTAAAAGTTGAAACTTGTTAGCGAAATATTGAATATATTTATCTATAAATAGGCTAACATTGGCCTGAATAATTATTATTATTAATTCCTAGAACTTGCTTTTACTGGAAATGTTTAGTTTCATTAATGCTGTAGATTACACATTTAGGTTAATGTAATATACTGTAATTCAGTCACACATTGTGCTTGAATAAAAAATTTTCTATTCTTTATATACTTCAAATTATGTGGAACTTTCCATAACTCAAACTTGACCATTTTTTTAGTCCCTTCAAATTCAAGATTTAGAAGTTTGACTGTATATATTAACTTTAAAATTGATATTTCTTAAATATTATTATTGTTTACATCTTATATTTAAATTTATTAAAACTGATTTTATGATCAAGTTCTATAATTGAAATTAAGTGTGTTAATTTTTATTGAATAACTTTTTCAATTATTGTTATATTCAAATTATATTATTGAATATTATACTAAACAAATAAGTTTATATTTAGATTTTATATATACTGTGTTAATTGAATAAATGAAGATGATCTTAAAACTTAAAAAAAGTTTATAGATATGATATTTTTGAAAAATATTTACCTTTTGCTAATTGTGCACTTTCAGAAACATTAACAGAGATATTACAAGCAGAATTTTCAACATGTTCATTTTCCAACTGAGTAACCAATATTTCTTCTTCTAATTTACTTGATAATGCAATTTGTTCAGAATTACTTTTAGGCATATTCAAACATACTGGTAAACTAGTCATTTTATTTAATGTTTTCATTCCAGTTTTTGTACATTTTTCTTTAATATTTGATTTGGCAAATATTTCATGATCTGTAGTTAACCTATCAAATTTCTTCCTTCTAACAGAATTAGTTAAAGATTTTAATGTTATATTCTCAGTAAACTTATCTAAATCGTCACATGCTATTTCTCCATTTTTAATTTTCTGCCAGTAATCGTGACTATATTTAATTGCACTTAGTTTCTCCTCTGGACTAAGATTGCTTCTTAATACTTTCAATACAGATTTTAAGTGAATATCTCCATATAATTCAGAATCAGATTTGATATCAGGATTATTTTGACGACCTTTAATTTGTCGTCTCGTTGAAGTATCATCACTTAAAGATTTAGTAAAATTATAATTATTAGAAAAAGAATCCTCTTTTGAAACAGCATGGTCTTGTTCACTTTTGCACAGATTTTGAAGAGTTAAATTTGGATCATTATCCTTTTCACAGATTTTATTTTCATTATCTTTTTTATATTTAACTTTATCTATTTTATCTTCAGCATTTTTATTTTTTGAATATGAAATACATAATTTACTAGTGGAAGTTTTTTTACTGTTTACAAGACTTTTGTTCTTTCCTTTATCACTGCAACTAAAAAATCTTTTTGCTTTAAAATTTTTTATGACTGTGTCATCATTCTTTGACTGTAATTTTTGTTCTGATTTTTGCAATTTTTTCTTATCTGATGCACCAATATTATTTGAAGACACAGAAACTCCTTTCCTTTTACAACAAAATTCACCAGTAGCTTTCCCTGTTGAATTTGCTCCAAATGTTTGAGAAGTTTTTGATGAATTGAAAGTTTTACTCACAAAACTCTCTTTATTTAATGTATGTGGAAATTCCTTGTTTTCTACACTAGATGCCTTTGAAACTGCACCTTTACTGTTAAGTTTCTTAGTGGTGAAATTTAGAAAAGATTGTGAAGCAGATGAAAATAATGTTTTATTAGTTTTTGAATTAGAATTTAGCTGGGCTTTTCCTTTCAAATTTGTACCTTTGAGAAAAAAAATTATTAAATATAAATTATAATTTTAAAATATATTAATATATTATTCAAATATAAAATTTAAGCTATAGTGTAAACAATTTTAATACCTATTATTAATAAATAATCTTTAGAATATTTATTTATCTACAATATCTTAATCTACAATTCTTCCACATTTCAAAGAAGTAAAGAATTCAAAAGATTTCGGGGGCGCTCTGATCTTCAAAGCTGTTGGTGTGAATTTTTTCCCACTTCCATACTTACTCTAATTTTCAAGAAATGAAGAATTTTGAAATATTTTCGGTTAAAAGGAATAATATTAAGCTTCTTGTTTTATTGTTATTGATTGCTGGAATAGAACCAAATCCTGGTCCCTTACAGAAAATTCCAACAAAGAGAGGAAGACCACCACTTACTCATCAAAAATTGCTGTCTAATAGTATCAAACCATTGGAACCAGATTCAAACCTGATCACTGATTATACTGAACCTAGAAGAGCCGAATCATCATTTCAAATAGGTAAGCTAATTAATTTAACTTCCTCACAAGAACAATTACCTGTGGAAGAAATAGACATTTCAACAACAGAATTATGGAATAATATAGTCGAACTGATAACTAATAGTAATAAGCTAGTGAGTCAATTTTCACTTATAAGACAAGAAATAAATATAATTCAAAATGAAATTAAAGAATTTAAAGATCAAATTCAACAAATAAGGATAAGAAATGATAAAATAAAAAATGAATTTACAAACTAAGACTAGAAAGTGAATTAACTCAATATAAACTGGATACTATGACTAATACTATGAATAATAATAAAATTATAATTTATGATATTACAAATCAGCTTAAAAATATTACTAAAAATGAATTAGCAGCATTTTTTCTAATACTTTAAAAATAATTTGCAGTGAATCAGAAGATATGGTAAATATATATTCAATACCTAATTCAAATATTCAAATTAAGTGCATAGTATTAAAATCAAACCTATTAAGAAATAGAATCCTTGCAGCCTTTAATAAATTGAAATATAATAAGAGACTGGGAAATTAGCAAGAAATTAATATGTCAACTGATTTAAATAAAGATTCTCACAAAAGAAGAAAAAACTTTTACAATATTATATAGAATTTAAGAAACAAGGATTACAACTAAAACTGTGTGATGACTATCTGATAATTAATCGTCAAAAATTACATATAGTTATATTCAAGATCAATTAGTATATGCTGATGATTTTTTGAAGTATTCTCTACAGAAAAACCCAATAACATAATTTAGAGTTATAATGTGAAAAGGATCAACATATTAAAATTTCAAATAATCTTAACTTATATATCATAAATTGGAACTGCCAAGGCTTAATCCACAAATTAAAACCCAAGATTTCTCTCAATTACTACATAAAACTGATATCTTGGATATAACTGAAACCTGGCTAGTCACGCCAGTTAATGAAATTAAAAATAGAATGGAATATACAATTATATCTTCTGACGCACAGAAATCAATAGGACCTGGAAGACCGCATGGAGGACTTTGTCTAATAGTAAGAAAAAACAATGGTTCCGTAAAATTGATACAAAAAGCAACTAATTATATTTTAATCTCATTAGAAATTGATAATACTGAAATGAAACATTTATACAAAAAGTTAATTATTATAGTGTTAGTTTACGTTCAGCTTGACCAAATAGACTTACTAAATGAAATATTCAAAAATCTCGAAAAATGGAAAAATATCTCTCCACATGTATTATTATTTGGTGATTTTAACTCCAGAATTGCACAGATATTAGATTCAGAATATAAAGGACCAAATAATCTAATATCTACTTTAACCGAAAAACAAAAGATAATAATCATAACAGATTGGGTCTTCAATTAATAAAAAATACTCAACAACTACAATTAATAATTTTAAATGGAAGAATAAAAAATGACTATGCATCTGAATTTACTTGTGTTGCGAATATTGGAAGTTCAGTAATAAACCTTAAGATATGTTCTGAATTGCTGTCTGACTCGTGTAAAAAATTCAAGTTTTAAATTGTGACATATCTGATCATTTAAATCAAATGTATAAAATTAATGATTTTTTTTAATCAAATCAAATGATCAATCAAATAATCAAATTTTTAATCAAATGATAATAAATTAATAAAACTAAAAAAATTGTTTTTTACTAATTATGTTACTTAAAGTAAAATATTTAAAAGATAAATAACGACAAAATTTACTATTAAACGGTTATTGTAATATTATTGATGTTTTTGAAGATGATGTATATCAAACGATTGATAGATAACAAATGTATATTAATATATCATTGGAAAATACCCCTGTAACAAGGCTTAGCCTTAATGCAAATAAAAATAGTTGATTGATTAATTATACAGTAGAACCTTCAATTTATACACAGGAATTCATTTCGTTTTTTTAAACAAAAATTTAGAATTAAAACTGAATTGAGTTAGGAAATTCGGTTCAATAAAATTCATTGAGAATATTTTTATTTAAATACAGAAATTTAATACATTTAAAATACATATACATATATATATATATATATATATACACATTTGTAGGGGTGCTGTATTAAATGTATAGGCCTACATATTAAATAAAGATGATCAGATTAACATAAGATGTTATCATATTGTTCGGTCTATAATCAATTTAATGTTTAAACTGGTTGTAGATATTCTTTATATTTACTCAGCTCAATAAAATTATGGAAATTAGAAAGATCATTTTAGATTATTTCATTCATATCTAAAACACAAAAAATAAATTTTATACAAAACCAGTTTCGAGAACACGAATATCTTATTTATTTTGAAGGTTATTTCAGTTTATTTTTTAAAAATTGTTGCAATTCTTTGACCTCGACATTTTATTTAATAAAACAGAATATAAAATCTGCATCATATTTATTATCTATAATATGTTGACAAAGTAGAATAAGTATATATTATGCTTATAAACTTCTAAAGTATAGACTTATATATTTTTACTTAAAAGAATTATAGCTAAATTATTAAAAATTGGAGAGTAATAACTCTATACTGTATTATCTGTTTTCAACGAATTCGAAAAAGTACAAAACAGATTTACACGTAGAATTTTTCAACTAGGATATAATACTCCAGGAAGCTCTCTAAGATTGGAATTGAATAGGTATAAACTAAATACCATTTTAATGAAAAGATATATTAAATTTCTAATAAAAGTTATTGATGCAGGAGACCTTACTACGAAGGTGCTATAGATATTATACCATAAATCGAGAAATAAAGATTTAAATAGAAATTGGATAATTCAACTAACGAAAATTCTAAACACATATGGGTTCTCTATGGAACTTTTTATGGAACATACGACCACTAATGTACAACAAAGTAAACTATTAATTCAGAGAGTAATGGAAATATTGATTGTGCAAGATATCGAAGATATACAAAAACGAAAAAACCCATTCTGGTACAAAATAATTTTAAACTACCCAATGAATAATAATTATATGTTCACGAACCTGGCATTTAATGTCAAAAAATTCTTCATACAGCTCAGACTAAATAAAAATGGGATTATTTTAAATGATAAGTTCCTGGATTACTCTCAAACCATATGCCCAAGATGTAATAAATCAATGTCTAAATTCCATATATTCTGTGAATGTGATAAAGTAAACGAAATCAGTCAAAGGTATGATATAAGTATAATAGCTAATTTTTCCAACGAATCTGAGATGTATAAGATCCTTGATAGAGAAAATATTAATACTATTTTTAAAATATATAACTATATGAACCATTTTTTAAAATAGATTGTGATTAATATCTTATGTTAATGAAAGTGTGAACCAGCAAGATATAAACTAATTAGAGCAAAGTATTAGAGTTAATGAAACAATAATAGTCTTAAAGGTTTGTTTACGAATGATGTGTGTTATATTGTAGATATATGATAAGGACATATACAAAGTATTTGTTTATGAAATATAAAAATATGTTTGAGATATGTTTATGAAATATACAAAGTTAAAACTGTAAGATATATAATGAATAGTTAATAATTTTGTTCAAAGATTAATAAACGAAGCATTCTGTACTAATATGTTGTATTAACAAACATCGCCCTTGTAACAGGCGAAAGCCTTATACGCTTAAAAAATTGAATTGATTGATTGATTGATTGATATATTATCTGTTTTATCTTTTGAAATTTATGAATTATTTCTACTTTAAAAGAAAATAGATATAATATTATACAGTAGAACCATGAGGGCGCTCTGATCTTCAAAGCTGTTGGCGTGAATTTTTTCCCACTTCCATACTTAGTCTAATTTTTCAAGAAATGAAGAATTTTGAAATATTTTCGGTTAAAAGGAATAATATTAAGATTCTTGTTTTATTGTTATTGATTGCTGGAATAGAATCAAATCCCGGTCCCTTACAGAAAACTCCAACAAAGAGAGGAAGACCACCACTTACTCGTCAAAAATTGCTGTCTAATAGTATCAAACCATTGGAACCAGATTCAAACCTGATCACTGATTATACTGAACCTAGAAGAGCCGAATCATCATTNACAAATTTTTAAAAATATTTTCACACACAATATTTATAATGCATTACCAGTAATTACAATACAAAATGGTTAAAATAATAAATATGTTTAAAACAAAACTGTAAGAATAAAACACTCTTCTCTAACTGTGCTCAACTAATACTCACACCTTGATACAAAAACCTTTAAAAATGCAGCCTTTTAATTCACTTTTCTAATGTTTTCGGCCAGTTTGAATGGCCTTCCTCAGGAACAGAAAAATCAAATAATTCTGATTTCTATAACATCATCTGTTTTAGAACATTTTAAACTTTGAATTTTCCTAAATGTCTAGTCTGGATGCCCATACATAAAGGATTACAAATAAACTATACACATATATATATAATACATGAAAAATAACTAAATAAATAAACTAAATAAGTGAATAAATACAAAAATACATTAACACAACTGCTAATAGAGAAGGCCATCACTGTGCCTGCTTCTTTAACTGTTTGTCCCTTTTTTATAATAGAATATTCATATTATACCAGCTCTCCAAGCCATTGAGTCTTTACTCAATTCTCTGAAGTTTACTGCTAATCCTTCCTGGTTTGTCTTATGCTTCTGCATATTTCAGGTGTCTCTTGGCCTGAATCTTTTGTATTATTTTAGCTCTTTTCCCAATTTACTATGACTTCTGTCAGGTCTGCTATAACATATGTTGCTAGTGTAGTGACTGGCTGCTCATTCTGCACGTTCCTTTTATGCTCTTTTAGCCTTTCTTTTAACGATCTTCCTGAGGCTCCGATGTAGTATAGCTCTTTTTGTCGCCTTTTGTCTAGTACTGGTATTCTATATATTCTTGAATCAGCCTCTGATCTATGTCTTCCTTGTCTGTGCATAGCATCTGGTATACTGTTAGATTCCTTTTAAAAATTATCTTTTTGTTTGTTGCTGCTCCTATTTCTTTGTAAATATTGCTTAGAGGTACCATGTATTCCATTACAGTGTATTCTTTTATTCTTTCCTGCTCATTGCCTTCGTTATTGTCTATTCTTCTTTTGTTAATAATGGCCTTTATCATATTCTGGCTGATACCGCACTGCCTAGCTAGTTCTTTAATGTGATCTAATTCTTTAATTCTGTCTTGTGGTTTGTTGCAGTGTGTATATGCTCTCTCTATAAGCTCCCAGAATGCTGCTATTTTATAGCTTGCTAGGTTGTGGGAAGTCCATGGTATTAACAGTAGGTTATAAGTTGCCTTTCTGTAAACTTTTGTAGAAATTTCCCCTCCTTTCTCTACTTCTATTGCCATGTCTAGGAAATGTATACTTTTATCATTCTCTTGCTCTAGTTCAAGCTCTAGGCCAAACTTGCTGGAATTGATGTCTCTGATAATTTGTTGAATGTCTGGTTTTTCTTTCCAGATAATCAAGACATCGTCAACATAGCGCACATATACTAGAATGTATACTGCATATTACAGTAAGATTACCTTCTCTAAAGTCCTTAGGTTCATCTCGCATAATGCCCAGAAACAGGATTTCCCATTGCCACTCCTCTATGTTGTATTTATGTTATTCCATTAAAGTTAAAGATCGATGAATATGTAGCAAGATTTTTCTGTTTCTTTGCAGACACACTAAGGTGACATATATCAACACTTGGCAACTTATTGACTATTTATTCAGTTGGGACGCCTTTTACATTACGCGTTTCGGGCATTGGCCCCTCTTCAGCCAACTAGACATAAAAAATNAAAAAATCTTTTACAATACTATATAGAATTTAAGAAACAAGGATTACAATTAAAACTGCGTGATGACTATCTGATAATTAATCGTAAAAAAATTACATATAGTTATATTCAAGATCAATTAGTATACGCTGATGATTTTTTGAAGTATTTTCTACAGAAAAACACAATAACATAGTTAATTTAGAGTTAGAATGTGAAAAGGATCAACATATTAAAATTTCAAATAATCTTAACTTATATATCACAAATTGGAACTGCCAAGGCTTAATCCACAAAATAAAAACTCAAGATTTCTCTCAATTACTATATAGTACTGATATCTTGGATATAACTGAAACCTGGCTAGTCACACCAGTTAATGAAATTATAAAAAATAGAATGGAATATACAATTATATCTTCTGACGCACAGAAATCAATAGGACTTGGAAGACCGCATGGAGGACTTTGTCTAATAGTAAGAAAAAACAATGGTTCCGTAAAATTGATACAAAAAGCAATTAATTATATTTTAATCTCATTACAAATTGATAATACTGAAATGAAACATTTATACAAAAAGTTAATTATTATAGTGTTAGTTTACGTTCAGCTTGACCAAATAGACTTAATAAATGAAATATTCAAAAATCTCGAAAAATGGAAAAATCTCTCTCCGTATGTATTATTATTTGGTGATTTTAACTCCAGAATTGCACAGATATTAGATTCAGAATATAAAGGACCAAATAATCTAATCTACTTTAACCGAAAATCAAAAGATAATAATCATAACAGATTGGGTCTTCAATTAATAAAAAATACTCAACAACTACAATTAATAATTTTAAACGGAAGTATAAAAAATGACTATCCATCTGAATTTGCTTGTGTTGCGAATATTGGAAGTTCAGTAATAGACCTTACGATATGTTCTGAATTGCTGTCTGACTGTAGAAAATTCAAGTTTTAAATTGTGACCTATCTGATCATTTAAATCAAATGTATAAAATTAATGGTTTTTTTTAATCAAATCGCCAAAGAACCAAAAAATATTTAATAAATTAATAAAACTAAAAAAATTGTTTTTTACTAATTATGTTACTTAAAGTAAAATATTTAAAAGATAAATAACGACAAAATTTACTATTAAACGGTTATTGTAATATTATTGATGTTTTTGAAGATGATGTATATCAAACGATTGATAGATAACAAATGTATATTAATATATCATTGGAAAATACCCCTGTAACAAGGCTTAGCCTTAATGCAAATAAAAATAGTTGATTGATTAATTATACAGTAGAACCTTCAATTTATACACAGGAATTCATTTCGTTTTTTTAAACAAAAATTTAGAATTAAAACTGAATTGAGTTAGGAAATTCGGTTCAATAAAATTCATTGAGAATATTTTTATTTAAATACAGAAATTTAATACATTTAAAATACATATACATATATATATATATATATATATACACATTTGTAGGGGTGCTGTATTAAATGTATAGGCCTACATATTAAATAAAGATGATCAGATTAACATAAGATGTTATCATATTGTTCGGTCTATAATCAATTTAATGTTTAAACTGGTTGTAGATATTCTTTATATTTACTCAGCTCAATAAAATTATGGAAATTAGAAAGATCATTTTAGATTATTTCATTCATATCTAAAACACAAAAAATAAATTTTATACAAAACCAGTTTCGAGAACACGAATATCTTATTTATTTTGAAGGTTATTTCAGTTTATTTTTTAAAAATTGTTGCAATTCTTTGACCTCGACATTTTATTTAATATAATAATTAATGCTATGGTCATACATTAAGCTATATTTGTAAAAATATATAATTAAATGTAATTCAATTGGAATGTTCGAGCTATATTTGAATATTTTAAGATAAAATTTTACCATAAATTAATAAAATTTGGTAATGAAGAACACAAGATGTTGGATTCATATTAATTTTCTAATAGTGATTTGGAATTTCTTTTAAACCAATCTTAAAACAATAATTTTAGTAACTTTTTTTATATCATTAATAGCAATTATTTAATTATTTAGTTATTATGATTGCATTATTTTATAGTTTCACTGACTAAAAATGTAATTGAGGTAAGAACAGTAGTTGATATTGTAAAAAAAAAAAAAAAAACATGTCGGGTCATTTACATAGATTTTAATGACAAGGGAGATAAATTAAGATTAAATGAATATTACAAAATGTGTAATGAAATTATAAATAATTGTCTTTAATTACAATTTAATCAAATAGCTATAAATTTTAATTTTAGAGTAAGACTCATGGATTACGATAAATTCTCTATGAAAAATGTACTGTACTTCGTATCGCCATTTTTGTTGAATTGGATAGGCTTTACATATTGAGTCTTTATAACATATATATTATCTATTTATCATGCAATTTTTTTTATCTAAAATATAAATGAAATAATTTGAGTGAAATATTCGATTTGCTTTCTTAATGTGCGATTAAAAATAAATTTATTTTTTAAAACATAGCTTATTCTCAAGTTAAATAAGCTTAGATTAAATATTTGAATCGTTTTTTAAATACGATTTTCATCGAACTTCCAAGGAAAACAATGGAACACTGTCTGAAAATAATTTTTAAGCATAATTTTTAAGTGTACTCGTTTCGAGACTCTAACACGTTTTTAGATTTAATATTACAATATTGTTTATAATACGTGTTTGGCCTAGACATATTTAGTTCTATGTAAAGATAGACTTAGATCTAATTATATTTTATTTTGTAATTTCCGAATTAATATATTTGAAAAATTCAAAAAAATAAAATACATAGATTTACAAAAATCCAGTGAAAATTTAAATGATGAGCTTAGTTTTTCTTACGCGAAAGTTAGTTCTACAATTTTGAAAAAATAGACTTAATTATATTTGATTGAACAATTCTTTAAAAATTTCAAAACGAGATAGGATTAAATCTAACAGTACCACTTTATAATCTACTTAAACTGGCTTTTGATAGTTTCTTATATCTGTTTAGTGCACGAAACTCTAATGTAGTCCATAAAATTGGACAACGTTTATCTACCTGTAAGTGCTACGAAGTATTTGTCGGATTTCTCGATGGAGATCTCTCTCTCTCGCCGTATCCATTTAGTAGAAAGAACAATCCAGACTACTTAAAATGGATATCTTAACAGGCATCGGTTAAAACTTATAGTTGGCCAGATGAAAAGTTTTGAGAAACCTATTCACTTTTGATGCTTGTCATGCATCATTCTCTGGAGGTTTCTCGAGAGGGTTGGATGGTTTCCTTAGGACCGTCCAGTACTTCACTCCAACATGCATTCGTGTTTATGACAGGCTCTATAACTTATTTATTGCCTTGTAGCGTTCCCATTTAGCGAGACAGCTGAAGGAAAAGAGAGAGAAGCTATTTTCCTCTACTTTAACTACATCACAACAACGGACGGTGACATCAGACAGACAGCGGATATCTGAGGAAGTCGCAACAATTGGCATATATCTTCATTTCTCGGTTGAACAACCCAAAGTGGACCATCTCTGATTTTGAATTTCCTCGTCCAATTTTTCTTCGCCATTTGTTTTATTACAACAAAGTACTTTTGGATAATTTTTATGACAAGTCTGAATTGATATTGAAGGAAAAGCATCTAGAATTTTTATAACGGGACTTAACTCGAGTGTAAGTACTAGCTGTTCTATTCGCTTATTCTCTTTTTGAAAAATAATAATTAGATCTAGGTTAGATTTTCTATAGAAGAATGTTACAGTTAATATTATAATTTTGACATTTTCACTATAGTATAATGCTCTGATTAATGTAGGATTTTAACAGAAAAATATTTGGCTTGTTTACCATCTTTGCTGTTTACTTTAGAATTTTTTGTTTAATGTAAATCCGGATCTACTTAATCAAAATGATATTTAGACAATGGAAAATAAAATAAATTGAATATGCATACGCATATTACATTTATTAGGCCTACTTATAAGCGTTTCTTTGTTTAAATTTAATTGAAATACTTCTAAATTCTATTTAATTGAATTATACGAAATAAAAATTTATCGCATTATACTTCCAAATGACACCTGTATTTATAGTTAAGTATAACTAAAAGGCCTAACTAGTGAAGGAAACATTCTCAGGCGAGATTATACATTATGCGACATAGGCCTAAAAATTTATTTAGTTATAATTAGCAAAATAGGCGTACTTATTGAAAATAACTTAAAATATTACCTTATTATTTACTATTTTGCATTTAAATTATCTTCAGATTTATTTCTATTATTTCCTACAAAACTTAACACATTATTAATGTGGTGGAAATTATAGTATGTCACGAACATTATTTGCATAAAGGAAAAATTAAAAACCATTACACTCTACCATTATATATAATAATTTTCCGCATTGAGCAATAGTCTATCACCGTAACTATACATTATTTGAATATTTTTGTAGCATCATTCTGCAAAACTATCCATACGTTGATCTTTCGAATGATATTATTATATTATATTATTAAGAAATCAACAGTTACTAAA